CCTCCCTGCCCCCAAGCCGCCGGCTCCGGCTCGGGCTCGGGCTCCGGCGTGTGCAGCCGCCGCTGCCGGCCGGGAAGGTGAGGGGGGGAGAAAAGGGGTGGCCGCGGCTCCCGGTGGCCCGGGTTAGGGCGGAGGTCTCGGCGGCGTCCAGTGTACGGGGGCTGGGTCTCTCGGATGCTCCCTCGCGCTCACGCTCTCGGCGGCGGCGGTAGCAGCGCCCGGAGCTCAGCTCGCTGACTCGCTCGCTCAGTGCGGGGCTCTCGCCTCACTCCAGAGAGAGGGGCGGGAGGAAAGCGGCGCGGACCGATGACGTAAGTCACCTAGCAACCGCTCTCTTCCCCCCTCCCTTTTCTTTCCGCTCGGAGGCTTCCTCCGCTGGCCTTTTTTCCTCTTTCCAACCACCCCGCCCTGGGCGCCTCTGGCGCGCACTGATGACGCTCGGAGGGAAGAGGAAGTTGGGCTCGGCGAGCGGGTGGGTGCGCCTCGGGCCGCGGGAGTCGCCGCGGCTGCTGCCGCCGCCTCTACGGCCGCGTCAGAACTGAAGAGAGGAAGGGGAGGAGCCGAGTGGAGCCTAAGCTGCCGCCTGATCTTACCCCTGACCCGAGGGCGGCGGAGAGAGCTTGCTCCGTAGCGGTTTCCTTCAGAGCAGGTGGTGACTGCTCCTTGGCGAGCAAGGAGGAGGCCCAGGCCGGGCAGCCCGCTCGGGCGCGCACCACCCGAAGGTGAGGCATTTGGCCCCAAACAGGCCTTTCAAAAGCCCGACTGAGCGAGAAGTTATCTTTCAGCTTGATCCCCGGCACCTGCTCCGGGGAGCGAGAGCCCCACCCTTTCCCTGGTGTGAGGCGAGACCCAGCGGCCAATAACTTGTGGTCGGGCGGAGCAAATGTTTGATGAATGAATGAATGCCTCCTTCACTCCCGGAGCTCAGAGGAGTTTGATGGAAGTGCAAGCGCTTTGTAAACTGCGTAGCATTGTACAGATGAGAGTTGTAATACATCCCTCTTCCCCCTGTTCTCTACTCCAAAGAAAACAGGGGATGAGGCTTCCGTGAGCAGTCACAACCTGAGTCTTTAGTGAAAGAGGCAGATTGCTGGGACGAGGGAAGGGAGTCATCCTCCCGGAGAGTGGAAGGATTTTTGACTTTTTCAGAAAGAGAATTTAGTAGTGCCTCCCTTTGAGAAGGCATTCTTGCTTGTGGTTTGGAGCTTTGGAGAATTAATACAGATTGTTAATCAGTGTACATTACCTTCAAGAAAAAAATTTTGGCCTATGTTTCAGATAAATGTTATTACTCTTTATGCAGCTTTTCCTACAGATGTTATCCTGGAAAGTAAATTCAAGTAAAAACTCGTGAAGTTGAAAGCGTGGTTTTCTAGGAAAAGAAATTTTAAGATAAAAGGACCAGATTCCTCAGAAATCTGTCTCGAACCTGTCCTGGTGAATAATGTGAGACTGAGATCAAAGCAACGTGATGAAAGGAAGCAGATTCCATAATTCTGTCTCTGGACCCCGGCACGCCATACGTCCTCTGGAAGCGGCAGTAGCGGATATTGCAAGTCTTTCCAACTCGGAATAAGCAGCAAGTTTTTGCAGACAGATCTGGGGAATTCAAGGTTTCTGCCCCTACTGCCACCACATATGCAAATAGTAGACCAAGGAAACCTCTAACTGGATAATTCCAAGGGCTCATTTTTACTGAAATGCTGCAGAAAAAGTGATGGGAGGGGGGAGACGGATGTTGCAGAAGCAAGAAGAGACTCACAAAGTATAACCTGCCCAGCTGCCCTTCATCCAGAGTTCTAAGAGCCAAGTTAGCTGTCCTACTTAAGCTACCCTTAATTTGATTTGACTTTTCATGACCAATCCCTGCCATGTCCTTCCAAATAAGACTAACAGGGAATCAGACCAGCAAGCAATGGCCTCACATGGCTACAAAATAAATCGTTTTTGATTTTTCCCCTCTTCCTAATTTTTTTATGGAAATTGAAGGAGTAAAATACACAGATTTAGGGGATTCTGTAAAGCTGAGCACCTCAGCTTTTAAGTTCTGTGGGCTTTGGTGGAAAAGAGTGCAAACATCAGAGCTCTGCAGCCCAGCAGAGGATGCCTCCAGAAAAGTGTGACCACTTGGGGCTCTTCTGCATACTGGTCTGTTTCACTGTCAGTGGCTCCACCCTAGAACCTGGGTGCTGAGAGCCCCTCAGCCACCTACTTACAAAGCTACAGCTGCGCTAGTTTACTAGGCAAGATCCACCCACTTCACCACCCAGTATGATAACTGGAGGAAACAGCTGGAACTGATGACTGCAGAGAAGGAAGTCCGTACATTTCCAACTTGATCAGCATCTCTTTAGTTCTTTTACTTATTAATCCAGAGAAGAAAACAGCTAGTTCATTCAAAATTCAAAAAAATCTGAGGTTTTAGGTAACAGTTCTCTCCCTGGATCATCAGTTTATGATAAAGATCCACATACTACATTAGAACATAACAAAAGGATGTTTGTGTAGGATTTTCTCCTACACCAAAAAGTGAGCTCTTATGAGAAACTATTTAATCCGTTTTTTTATCCCACATCAGTTTTTACTGTCAAAGATTTCATAAGCTGAATTTTCTAGCAAAATTTCTTTCCAGATATTCCATCTACAATATTCAACTACTTTTTATTTTTAATTGTGCATTTTTATTGTGAAATAAACATCAAAATGCATAAGGCAGTTATTCCATATAATGACTAATTATAAAAGAAACCTCCGTGTGACCAACCAGATCAAGAAATGGAACACTGCCAGCACCCCAGAAGTCCCCCGGTGACCTTCCTGAACACAACTCTTTCCCTCCCTTTTAGAGGTAACCATTATTCTAACTTTCGTGATAACCATTTCCTTGTTTTTTTCTCTATTGTTTTATCACAAGCATGCATCCCTAAATCATATATTGTTTGGTTTTGTCCTTTCTTTTGGAACAACATAATATGTAACCTGTTGTGCTTACTACTTTTGCTCAACATCATTTTTAATCCATATGTTGTTTGGGTTGTTTATATAAATGTAATTTGTTCATTTTAATTGCTGCATATTACAGTGTTTCATTGTAGCAATATGCCATAATTTATTTAGCCATTCTATTGTTGATGGATATCTGGGTTGTTTCCAGTCTGGGACTTTTACGAACGGTGTTTTAAATATACTTTATATATTCCATCACATCTATATGAGTTTCTGTATGGTATATACCTGGGAGTGGTTATGTGTACTATAAATTTGAATGAATAATGCCAAGCTGCTTTCTAAAGTGTTATACTCACACCAGCTGTGTATGAGCCTCATTGCTTCACACCCTCAGCCACATTTGGTATAGTCAGTCCTTTCAGCTTTGCCAATCTGGTGGGTGTGTAGTAGTAAATCACTGTGGTTTTAACTTGCATTTCCTTGATTACTGATGCTGTTGAGGACTTTCTCATATATCAGCTAGCCATTTGGGCTGCTGCTTTTGTGAAGTGGGTTATCGTTTTCATGCCTAACCTCTAAGATGCCCGATTCTCCAATATCCTTTTATAGTCCACATTTGAATAATATATTTCGGGTAAGGTAATGCTACCAGATGAGTTATATTTAAGACACAGTCTTTCCAAAATAAGAACAATTATTCTGCCTAATTATCTCTTTATCAATTTGATAATAAGCTTCTTAAAAATAGAACTATGAGACTATATTTTTTACATTCCAAAATAATGTTATGCTTTCAACTATTAAATTGTTGCTGGAATCCCTCATGGTGGTTTGGGGTTTGTGACTTGGTTTCCCTCAAAAATGTAAAGTTGGTATTTCTTCTCTTGGAATCTGTGTAACTGAACTCTGTTATTGCTTTGTATTTTATAGGCAACTATGTAACAAATTATTTCACCAGCACAAATTTTTTTTCATTTTCGAGTTTCATTCATTTTGTAAAAATCATGGTGGCTTTTTCTTTCCCCCTAAAGTTCCTGCTAAAATACATGGTTGGTTGGTTTTTTAATTTCACTCATTAATATTAAATACATACCATTCCTGTTACTACCTGGCACATTTCTCAACATATTCTATTTGATTGTTTTTATCATTTTATCATTCTTATCTCTCAGTTCTTTGTTTAAAGTCAGTGATATTTTAAGACTGGAGGAAGATGAGACCCAGAGAAATTAAATGACTTACCCAGAGTCAGAAGAGCAAGTAAAAAGGAAACTTGGAGTGGGCCCCAAGTCTTCAAATAGAGTACACTTAGCATTATATCACACTGACCTCAGTCTCTGAAGCAGTAAGGTAAATTCATTCCCCTGGTCTATTGAATATTGTTCACTTCAACATGGCAAACCTCTTATTACACCATTGGATATGGTTACTTTATTTTAAGCCTAACAGCTTTAGGAGCAGATTAGGACTGATATAAATAAAAATAAAAGAATAAAATTTTTGAAGACTAATACAAATAATTGTGCTTAAAAGAGGTTACATGGAACCTAGCTTTTAAAAAAGAAGGTTCCCCCTGCCCCACTTCAGCTCTTATAGCCAGTCTGTCACTAGGCCCCATGGCCTCTTCAGAGAATTATCATACTTCTTCAATATCTGAAAAAAAGAGTTACACAAAAGAAAGCAGTGATTGGTAGTGTCAAATGATGCAGAAAAGGACTTTGGGTTTGATCAGCTCCCTAATAATTCCATAATGCTGTTAAAAATGCTAGAGAATATCAGACCTTAATGACATTTTCATATACAGGAACAAATCAGTCTAGAAACTTATCAACCGTGTCATGAGATTGTCCCTTTGTGGCCTTTATCATCATCTAGGTTTGCAAAAAGAGTGATTCTAAAACTGAATGATAGATGACTACTACTTTTAATAGAAAATAAATTAGTAAGGTAACTTTGAATCTCTTGTAATATTTGATAATTTAACTGTATAAAATTTCAGAAGAAGCCTTCATTTGGTTTTATCATTAATAGTCACTAAATATTTTTATCTAATAAAATCTAGCGGTTATTTTTAAAATAAAATACTGAGTGAAAACCATCTTAAAGAAAAGAACTTCATAAAAACATTAAGGTAGGCTTAGATATAACTTAGCTCTGAAAAGCAAAGTTTTCTAAATGTTTTGGCTTGAAATTCAAAGTTGAGTTATTGAATTAACAGTCAGTAGTTGCCAGAGGTACTAGATATATAAATATTATTTGTATTTTTTTGTCTTCCAAAAAGCAGTGATATATAGAAAACACAAAAGAGTTAGAGTGTCAATCATGAACATGGGATTTTCACAGTTACTTCACCATTCAGTGAAAAGAAATTTACTTATCACCCACTATTTCTTAGCACTGAACTAAGTGCTGGACATATAATGGTGAAAAGAATGATGTCCCTGGCTTTATGGAGTTTACAATCTAGTCCAGTATGTCCCAGGCTTAATACTTGACCCCAGCTACTACCATCTACTATTTGATCTATATTCTGCATAATCATCTGGTGGATAAATGGGTGGCTGCTTTGTTCTCTTGATAAGCAAATAAATGATCACATGCTGGAAACCATCGATCCGATTGTCATTTTTCAGATTTTCATTATGACAATTTTTAAAAATACAGAAAAATTGAAAGAATAATTTGTGTTCATACACTTTTCATCTAGATTTGGTCATTGTTAACATTTTGCTGTTTGCTTTATGTATTTTTCTGAATCATTTGAAACTAAGTTGCAGGCATCATGATGCTTCATCTTTTTTCTTAGGTGATACTTTAGCAGGGATCACTTAAGAAGAAGGATATACCTAACTCCAACCTTTAGTAGACCTGAAAAAATTAA